GGCTGGGGATTCGAACCCGCCACCTTAGGTGTACGTGGCTGGCGCCTTAGCCGGTTGAGCTATAGGCGCCGAGCCTACTCCTAGGATTTTTGCCTGAGAGAAATGAAAACATTTGTCCACCTAAAAACCTGTATGCAAATGTTCAGAGCAGCACTATTCACAATAGCTTAGAGGTGGAAACAATCCAAATGTTCTATCCACAGATGAATGGATAAACAAAATATGGTAAATCCATACAATAGAATATTATTGAGCCGTAAGAAGAAAGAAATTCTGACACATGCTAAAACATAGATGTCCCTGGAAAACATGCGAAGTTTAAGAAATCAAGACAAAAGGACCACATGGTTTATAGCCTCATTTATATGAAACATCAAGAACAGGCAAATCTATACAGATAGAAGGCAGATTAATAGTTGTCAGGGGCTGGGGAGAGAGGAGAAGGGAGAATGGAGAATGGGTAGGGCTGGGGAAAGCAAAACTCTATGGGTTTATCCTTTTTTTTTTTTTTTTAATAGAGATAAGAGTTTCACTTTATTGCCCTCAGTAGAGCGCCGTGGCGTCACATAACTCACAGCAACCTCCAACTCCTGAGCTTAGGCGATTCTCTTGCCTTAGCCTTCCGAGTAGCTGGGACTACAGGCACTCGCCCCAATGCCCGGCTATTTTTTGTTGCAGTTTGGCTGGGGCCAGGTTTGAACCCGCCACCCTTGGTATATGGGGCAGCACCCTATCCACTGAGCCACAGGAGCCACCCAGTTTATTCTTGATGTAATGAAAAATCTTCTAAAACTGACCATGGTGGTAGCTGTACAATTCTGTACACAGCCTACAGACCACTGAACTGTACACTTAAAATGGGTAAACTGGATGATGTGAGCATCTCAATAAAGCTATGGAAAAAGAAGGAAGGGAAGGAAGGAGACTAGTTACCTCTGGGCAGATTACTTTTCAAGTCTTTTGAAGTTTGAAACTGGTGAGCAAAGTGCCTACAGCAAAGTAAGTAATATTTTGAAAAAAAATCTGTGAGGCTGGGTGCAGTGGCTCATGCTTGTAATCTCAGTACTTTGGGAGACCAAGGTGGGAGGATCACTTGAGGCCAGGAGTTCAAGACCAGCTTGGGCAACACAGCAAGACCTCATCTCTACTAAATAAATAAATAAATAAAAATTAGCTAGGCATGGTAGCATGCACCTATATAGTGCTAGCTACTTGGGAAGCTGAGGTAGGAAGATTACTTGGGCCCAGGAGTTTGAGGTTGCAGTGAACTACAATGAAACCACTAACCTAGGCAACAGAGTGAGAGCCTGTCTCAAAAAAAAAAAAAAAAAAAAAGGCAGCACCCGTAGCTCAGTAGGTAGGGCACCAGCCACATACTGAAGCTGGAGGGTTTGAACCCAGCCTGGGCCAGCTAGAACAATGACAATTGCAACAAAAAAATAGCCAGGCAGTGTGGTGGGCGCCTGTAGTTCTAGCTACTTGGGAGGCTGAGGCAAGAGAATCACTTAAGCCTAAGAGTTTGAAGTTGCTGTGAGCTGTGATGCTACAGCACTCTACCCAGGGTGACAGCTTGAGACTCTATCCCCTCCCCCCCAAAAAGATGCATAAACTAACCCAAAAGTGCTTAAGGGAGGGGAGGAAGAATTAACCTGTTCAGGGAGCCACCCTTTGCCCTGACCAGTGAGGGACCTAGCCAAGGAAAAGGGTCCAGGCAAGCTTCTGCATAAGAGCCTCTTCCGGGAAAAAATGGCCAGGCAGGATGATGTAAAGACTGTGCCCCATACTCTAGGGCAGTCACTGAAGGATTTTAAAGAAAGGGGTGGCTCGGTGCCTGTGGCTCAAGTGGCTAAGGCACCAGCCACATACACCTAAGGTGGCGGGTTCGAATCCAGCCCGGACCCGCCAAACAACAATGATGGCTGCAACCAAAAAAAATAGCTGGGCATGGTAGAGGGCGCCTGTGGTCCCAGCTACTTGGGAGGCGGAGGCAGGAGACTCACTTGAGCCCAGGAGTTGGAGGTTGCTATGAGCTGTGATGCCACAACACTCTACCCAGGGGGACAGCTTGAGGCTCTGTCTCAAAAAAAAAAAAAAAGGGTGACCTTACACATTCCACCAGTAGTAAAAGTGAGTCCTCTACAATTCTGTAGGGTCTCTGAAGAGCAAGGTCCTACCCTGGGCAGGGTTGGGGGAGGAGAGGGATTCCCTGAGTAAGAGGATCCTGAGCAGCGGCTCCAGCTGGCCAGCAGGAAAAAGATGTACCCAGTATATACAAAGAATGAACCTCAGCTTTTTTTCTTCACTCCCACAGTTAGCTTTCCTGCATCTTTTCACTGTTTTCTCATTCATTAGCAACTCCATTCAGAACTGCTGCTGTGGGATGGGCACTGGGAAAACAGGGAATACTTGGCCCCTACATGCTAACACTCAGATCATTCTAAAATTGGCTGCTATGATGGACAGAAGTGGCATGTGCCCAAGGCCTCAGAGGTACGTCTTGGGGTCAAGTTGAGTCCTGGCTCCAGTACTGACCTACTCCTGAAACCAGAAACCCAAATCTCTTTCTCCATTTTGAAACTGAACACTAACCTGACCCTATGAATGCAACCCAAACTCACAGAGCCAGTACTATGCAAAGACCACAAGGAAATGTGGGCCCTACCCCTCCCTGCACACAGGGAAAGGGAGAAGTCAATGCACCCCAAGCATGAGCTCCTGGAATCCTCTTAGTGAGACTTCAGGGCTGTTTTCCCAGTTCTCAGTTGGGAATACTGAGGCCATGTGGACATTAAGTACTGTCCTGAGGTCAGTGTGGGGTCAAGATTCAATCCAGAATCTGTCTAGGCACCACAGCCTGTGATTTCCCTCATCTGTATCCTCCCCTTACTCAAAATCTCTGTCTCAACCACATGCACAAATAACAGCTTAGGGTAATCAGAGAGGGGAGGCAGGATCTTGAATTCCCAGACATAAGGCATCATAATTTCCTTCCAGGAGTCGAAACTCACAGCTGGACAAGTCAAAGAGGCAAGAGAAACCAGTGCATCACATGGTAACCAAGGGATAGAGCCCAGAGAACCTACTTCAGGGGTCCTGACACCTCCCTGGGCTGCCAAACTAAAGCCACCCGCCACCCCCATACTGAGGCCCAAATGACAAGGATCAAGATGGTCAAGGAACCAAGACAGGATAGGTGTGCAGTGTAGCCAACGCCCCTCACCGCTCTGTGCCTCAGTTTACTCATCTGAAAGAGGGGACTCATCCATCCAACCCACCCTGATGAACTGCATCCTCCTCTGTGCAAGGTGCTGGGGACACAGCCAGGAACAGCATCAGCTATGCTCAGCCAGGGCTCACTGTCTAGTGGGGAAACATGAGAAATGATTTAGTTATAGTTGGGGTGAGTGTGTCACAAAGTGGCCAATCTTGGTGGTATGGGCCACTAAAGGACAAACAGGAGCTGGGGAGATGGAGAGAACACTCCTGGGCAGGAAGGTATTAGGTGGCATCTGAAGACCCAAAGGAGGTGGTTATGGCTGGAGGATAGCGCAGGGGAGCATGGCTGCAGGGAAGAGGGCACAGGCATCTTTAGGAGTGAGCAGTAGGAGGCTTGGAGTTAGTGGGGACCTTGGGGTTGGCAGCACTGTAAGAGTTTTATGGAGATTCATCCATGCAAGAGGACTATCAACTCCATGAAGGTAGGTATCATGGCCAGTTTTGTTCAAGATCAGTTTCTTGGCGGTAGATGCTTAGTAAATATTTGTAAATGGATTAAAGAACAACGCAGAGAGAGAGGGAGAGAGATTGAAAGTGAGAGAGAGAGAAAGCATAAAGTAGAACAAATGACTTGAGTTTGGTAGCTGGTGGGGAGGGGGCCAGAGGCTGTGCAGTGGGAACACAGACATTTCTAGGGTTGCAGAGGGCATTCCTTGGGGTCCCACTTACTTCATTTGGCATGCTGGGTACTGCTGCAGACACTCTCTGTGAGTTACCTAAGTATGTGAGGCAGCCTCCAAATCGGGGATGTGGGGTGGGGACCACAGTGCTGTCTTGCCTGGTCCCAGGGAGCTATCTGGTGCAAGGCACACAGTCAGCACTCAGCAATGAGGACTGTGAGGTTCTGGGACAACAGGAGGTAACAGAGATGCAGGGCCCAGGTGACCTCCTAAAGTCAAGAGCCAAAACAATGTCCCGGTGGGAGTCCCAATGCCTCCTGTACTTCAGCTTCAGAGCCTGGCACCTAGAGCTCTGGAGCCTTCTATTAGCAATTAGGGGGCAGAAGGAGCAAGTGGGGCAAACCCAGCCACAAAACACCCCCACACTGCTAGGGACCCAGGAGTGGGAAAGGCGTTGTCTGTGATCTGCTAGACTTGGATGCTATTCTGTCTCCTTCTTTCATGGCCTCATGGCCTTGCTAGGATTTGAGGTGTGAGATGGAGTGAGGCGGCAGACAGCCCAGGAATGCAGTGAAGGGCCTGCACAGACCCACCACAGAGTACCCCTCCATTCCTTGCGGACTGCCCCCAAACTGTCCAGACTCAGGAGAACAACTGCCTTGGATGGCAAGCCCATCACCCATGCCAGTCCCAGAAGGGAGAAACTATGATTGGGCTCCCAGAAGAAACAGGTCTCAAGCAACAGGTACCTGGCTGGGTCACCTACTGGTTCAGTTGGGGGTGGGACAGATTTAATACCAACCAAGCTGAACCCCCAGAGCAGCTGCCTCTGCTCCCTCCAGACCTGGTGTAACATATCCCTTAGTCTGGCACTCAAGCCCTCCACCTCACTCATCTTAGACTCAAGCACAGAGCATGCACCCCGCTCCACTGAAGCCAGGCCTTTGCTAAAGTTGTATACCCCTGCTTGGAGTCCTGCCCTCCTCTGCCCTCAGCTACTTGCTGCTCTGAGAACATGAAGTCCCACTTGACCATTCTCAAGGGCAGGAAACCACATCAGAATCATCTCTCCTCAAATCTCACTGTATCAGTCCCTGCTGCAGGGGAGGGGTAGAAGGCCACAGGGCAGCCCCTAGCCCCACAGGGTGAAGGGGGACCCTCCCAATACCACTAGTCCTGGTCTCTGGCACAAGTGGGTCTCTCAGTGAGACTCAAGGGCACAGGACACAGTTTCCACAACCTCCCAATAGTCAACAAATATTCACCAAGTCCCTGTCTGTGGCAGGCTGAGACTTAGAAGGCCCCGTCTCTGGAATGTATGATCTGGTGGCAGGGGGAACATGGCCATTCATTTAGGGTCACACAGATCAATTTGGGGCACATGGGGACATCTGGACTTGCCTGGAGGGAGGGTTCTAATGGAACTGAGATCTGGGAGGGGCAGCGATGGAAAGTGCTCTCACTTCTGGGGGATTGTGCTCAGTCTCAGGGCTTTGCTATAGGGCAGAATCAAGAAGGCAGCCATCTGCAAGCTGGGAAAAGAGCCTTCACCAGAACCTGACCCTGCTGGCATACTGATCTCGGAATGCCAGCCCCCAGAACTGTGAGAAAATAAAGACCTGTGGTTTAACCCACCCAGTCTATAGTATTTTGTTGTGGCAGCCTAAGAGGTAAAACAGGTTTATCATCCATTCACCAACACCCACTCCATTGGAGCTTTTGAACCAGCCCTCCCTGTGGATGCCAGATTTGCACAACCAACCTGCAGATACCTCCATTCAACATATCTAGGACTGAGCTCATCGTTTCCAAATCCAACTCATGCCACAGCTTTACCAGCTTCAGCCCTCCTCACTCAGATCTTTGGATTCACCCTTGACTTCTTCAAAACCACTCTGCAGGACAGTGCCTATGGCTCAGTGGGTAGGGTACTAGCCCATATACTGAGGGTGGCGAGTTCAAACCCAGCCCTGGCCAAACTGCAACAAAAAAAATAGCGGGGTGTTGTGGTGGGCACCTGTAGTCCCAGCTACTCGGGAGATTGAGGCAAGACACTCGCCTAAGCCCAGGAGTTGGAGGTTGCTGTGAGCTATGTGATGGAGTGAGGCGGGGGGCCCTTCAAAGTCTGGTCCTGACTGCTTCCAGACCTTCTAGGGTGGGAATGCATCCCCCAAGGCAGCCAGTCTCAGAAATCTCTTCCCAACACCAGTGCCTTAGGTTGCTCTCCCATCCCTTTGACGTCCTGGCACTTCCTATGATCTAGCAAACTGGAGGTCCCCCCCTCGCCCCCTCAGCTTCACCAGGGCAGAGAATTTGCCTGTGTAGCTCCTTGCTGTGTCCCCTGCCCCTAGGACTAGGCCAAGCACACAGTGTGCTCTCAGTTGTTTGTAGAATGAATGAAAGATTACTTCTATTCTTTCCAATCTTACTCCCTTTTGGGTGCCACAGTAACAAGGGAGTGAGGCTCAGAAGCAAGATCTGTGGCTGGGCAGACATGTCTTTCTCTGATAGTCGTCAAGGTGAGATGGGTGGGGGGTGCAGTCAGGGTTCCACTTGAGGCTCAATGTCACTAAATTTCAAATTCCTAACTCATACTGCTGTTGGAGCATGCTGTGTGTGTGTGGAGGGGGGCGGGGGTGCTAGAAGAACAATTCATGGGAATAGAAGCTGCCAGCTCTTTCTTTGGTAAGAGAACTCCGGACAGAATTCTCTAGCCAGCAGAGGCTGGAGCAATAGATTTGTTCAACTGACTTTCCAGGGAAGCTCTGAGATGGCCAATGACACGTGTCATGGTCTGAATGTTTGTACTCCTCCAAAATTCGCATGTTGAAACCCTGGTAGGATTAAGAGGTAGGGGTCTTTAGGAGGTGATTAGGTCATGAAGGCAGAGATGAATGGATGAGCGTGCTTATAAAAGAGGTCCAAGGGACCTTGTTTGTCCCCTCCACCATCCATAAGGAACAGCCCCTTACTACACACTAAATCTGCTGACATCTTGATCTGGGACTTCCCAGTCTCCAGAACTGTGATTAATACATTTCTGTTGTTTATAAATTACCCACTCTAAGGTACTTTGTTCTAACAGGCCAAATGGGTGAAGACAGGTAAACATCAGTTAAGAGAAACCATTGGCTCAGCGCCTGTGGCTCAAGCAGCTAAGGCGCCAGCCACATACAAAAAGGTGGCGGGTTCGAATCCCCAGCCCGGGCTCGCCAAACAACGATGGCTGCAACCAAAAAATGGCCAGGCGTTGTGGCAGGCACCTGTAGTCCCAGCTACTTGGGAGGCTGAGGC